AATATATCTACAAAAAGAGCGTCACTTTCACCTCCGATTATTGAGCAGTTTTTTGAGAATGCACGCGATCTATGGGAAAATACAAATTAAAAAAACAATATTATATATTTTTTAAAATTTGGAATACTTATAAAGCGGGGTAACTCGGTTTTTGTATAGTTTTACAAGGTTTCCCGAATAACCCCATTCAGGTAAAATTTAAGAAAATAAGAAAAAAAAATTTTTGTGGCCTTATTGTTTAGACAGTGACAATTTTATTGCATACTAAAAACTGCTAACATAAGGCCCTTTCCAAAACGTTTATTTTAAAAAATCTAAAAAAATTAGTTTGAGTTTGATTAACAAAAATTCGAAAAAAAATTCCCTATTAGCCCCGTTCTACGGTACTCATTCTTCAATAGATTGAAAAATTCAACATTTTCTCAATATGAGCAGAAAAAAGAAGATTTGTTTATATGTAATTAATAATGTATAATTTGGTTATTTTAGAACAAAATGTTTTTGTTATAATAAAACTAATTTGTTGCGTACAAAATAAAACTTAATGTCAATATTCTAATCAGTATGGGTGTTAGACTTAAAAACTATATACAATGTGCTGGTACCATTTTACCTATTGACCTGTGGATTGATTGCTTCATAAGTTTGCAAAATAATTTCCTCAAAACATTACGTCTTTTAGATACAACATGGGACGTTTCACACAACAGTTTCATGTTATTGGTTTTCTTATATCGAAAACCCAAATTATTCACTACTTTTGATACGGTCGTTTTACTTAGGTACATCTAAAATTTCTTTTTATTTGAAAACTCTAGCAAGTAAATACAGGCGTGACGTCCTTTTAGTATTTCTTATACTACAACGTTAACCTTACTAACGTAATAAAATGAATCATCTGAGCTCCCACATCTCATACGTTACAACGATAAACTAAATCTACCACAGTTCCTCACACAAACATCCGATCATTTCCTCAAATAATCATAACGCTGATAAGTAATGAGTATAAACGAGCTTCCTCGTCTGAATTCGAAGGAACAAAGAAACCAAAGCCACCGCCGCTGATTTCCCGCTTCCATACGATTTCTCTTGCTCAGTTCTCTTGTATTTGCGGAACGAGCAACCTCTGTGCATATGAAGATTGATTGCATAAAAAGACTAAATGCAGTGCATTGTTGGTGGCGTCTGGCCACTTAATAAACTTTAGCCTAGACTCTATACATCAGCGGGTCTCGGTTCCGCCAGCGTCACGACGCTGCTATTGTAAACTTCGCGACTCTATTATAGACATATTATGGGTGCAAAAAGCGCATTAAAGGTTGCCGGTGTTGCACTTAAATGGTGGAAACTTGCAATAAAGCTCTCCCTCATACGGCGCCAGTTTAATATTTCTCTTCATCAATTTATTTCGAAAAGCTCGGCCGAAGTTGCTTCATGTCGAGCAAGTCGGAACTGGGTCGGTTGCCTTTAGAACTCGAAATTATTGCGGAAATAGTACAAAAGGCAGTAGGTTTAAAGGTAGAATGGCAACTGGTTAGTGGGTTATATGTCCTGAAATGTTTCATTTTTTTTTATTGAATGTAAGTGTTACAGTTTTCAGAAACCTTAATTTTATAAAATTTATAAATTTCAGACAATAATTACTTAAAAAAATTGTATGACATCGTCAAGTTTTTGGAAGGGATGAATAAGTGATCTGTGTTAGCTATGCATCATGTTGACGATAAAACTCACTTTTATAGTTGTAAAATGAGGTCAGCAAATATTTGCTGGGGATGATCAAACAAATGTTGATTTATTATGTAGCTATATTTGTTAACTTTTACAACAATCAAACTAATAATTTGGCTGATTTTCTGTCAAATCAAATCAAATCGCCAATAGACGAAAGACAGACCGAAATTCAATTTTCAAACTATTTCAGTGCACATTTATTGCAAACACAAATTTTATTTGTCCCATTTTTTGTAAAGATTAATTATTATCCTTTCAGCCTCTGTGTAACACCATTCAGTGGTTCAGTTAAGATCTTTTGATAAGATAAATTCCTTTTATAGAATCCCGTTTTTGTGTAAGAATAAGTACCACCAAAATTCTCATTGGTGCACCAGTTGGATCTAATGATCTGACTTATTTTAGTTAGGTTATAATCATTGCCTAAAAACTTGTTTAACACTGACTGGCAGCCACCTTTCAGTGTTTCTACCGACAATTTCTCAATTTATGGTACTAAGTCACCAGTAACCCAGCCTACCCAAACACGAGGATTATTCGGCAGCTTCAGAATATAACGAAATTTAGTAACCCAAACTTCTTCTTTTGAATTTAAATCTTCTTCATTCCAGAAGAAAGAAAACGCTTGGTCGTTATTTTTCCACCATTTTGTATCAAAGTAAAGAAAAATTTTCATAATAGCACCAAAATCGGTAGCTTCAAAGGCTTCCTGTTGTAACAATGGGAGAGCTGGGTGAAAGAGCTTGTATTTATTTCGCTTCAGAACGCCAATGGAGGGAGTAAGAACAACATATTCTGCAAAATAATCACCATTTGTTGTTGAAACACGAACAGACGTGCTTTCGTTCCAGTAAATGCTTTCGAATATGGTACTTAAACGTATTTTGTCATCTACAGATAATTTCTTTGGAACGTCGGGACAACTTTGCATCATAATTTCAAGTATTGCTTTATATCCCAGTTTCTTCCATGTCAAACCTTGATTGCCTGCACACTGTTTGTAATCACATTCTACTGATGAGTCAGACCAAGAAAAAGATCCTTCATGAACGATAACGTAGCCCTCGATAAATCGCAGTACTTCATTTCAAACTTGCTTGTCGTTTCTGTCTTTGTTCAGTGAAACTGTAGCATAATTAAAGAAATATATAATATACAACCAATATTACTTACTTGTAAGACATCACATCTCCTACGGACTTGTCAGTGCTACTATAACCGTCAATATTTCCAGTATGGTAACTCGAATACATTGCCTGCAATTTCTCCACAAAATCCAAACTAACTTTTGAGCCATTTGTAACTTCACTTTGAAAAGCTCTCTTAGGCCCGGTTCTAAGATATCAAAATCTTTGGCCATCTGATAATGTTATTTTTCTGAACATGGCAGTATTGCGCTGCTAGATGAACGATGCCCTCGCGAAATTCAATGCTGCATATGAAAACTCAAAAGAAAAACTGACGCTTGTAACCGTAACATGATTTTTAATAAAAAATTCTTTGTATAGATTTTGATTCTAGAATATACGTTATATAATACCTTACGGAAAAATTGGAGCGGTTGAGATATCAAATGCTCTTGACCTTTGGGTATCGCTTTTATTCAGTGTCAGAAAGGTCGCTGCTTATATAACTGAAAGTTTCAGTACCAGTCTAACATGTAGTAGGTACTGCAATGGTGATAGCTTTACCTAAAAAACAGGACAAATTTTGTTTTGCTAATGGCTCTGTTAAATGTGTTTGAGTATTTGATAAAGTATATTTATGTGAAGGTACTTTTGAGTTGTTTTCTTAAAGATTGTCAACAAATACCATTCGACAAATTCTTTTTTTTTTTTTCAAAAACATTGGTAGGCTGACGTAGCCGCCAAATTTTATCCTTTGACAGTCTAGGTAGTATTGTCTTCATTTCTTTTTCTTCTATTTTATTTACGTGTTCTTAACCATGGATACTTAACAAAACTTTTAATAAAACACACTTCATGAACAATTAAAAACTCAATTTTTCAACTTCTAACACGACGAATTCCATATCAACTATAAAACAAAATTCCTTCAGATTGATCTGAGTAGCACTATTAGTAGATTGTCATATATAATTTCCCAAGTGCGAGGAAAATTATCAAATAATTTCGAAATGTCAAACACGAGTGCTTGCTGGGGCATTTAAAAGTACGAGTGCACGTAGTGCACGAGTACTTTTTGTATGTCTCAGGAAGCACGACTGTTGACTTTTCGAAATTATTTGATTAATTTTTCGAGAAAGAGGGGAATTCGGTTAGAGAATTGCATGATGACATTTTTGTAATTGAATTGAAATTAAAAAGTTGGTTTTGACTGCGGTTACCATGGCACTGATGTTGTTTACTTTTTTCCTGTTTTTTTCGCCGTATTGTCAACGGTAGAAATAATCAATAAGCAATTTAGTAATAAATCTTAATGAGATATATTGGAGATAGTATTGAAAGCAGAGTTCCGCAGAATACAAGAAAATCACATTCTTCTGTGATTTGAAAGCTTTTGCTCTGAACGGAATTATATTTTGCAAGCAAGTACTACACCTGAAGAAATCAGCAATATCCTAATGGATTATGCATATAACATGAAGAAAGTCGATGGAACAGACTACAAAGAAAACTGTGTGGAAACGATGTGGAATGTGACTGCAAAACTTGTCCAAGAAAAGTTTTTCAATGAATATCAAATTTCTGTTACCCATTCAATGATTTATGTTTCAAAAAAGCCCAAAATGCTCTACAATAACTGCACATTTTAAGTGACGAGTTGTAATAATGTAAATTTTTAATAAAATTGTAATAAATGTTGTCTAAAACACTTGCAATTTAATTTTTGAAATTTGAATGTCAACTTTGACAGCGCTGATAATTTTTTGAAGTTGTCAAAAAATTTCCACTTATTAATTTGAGCTACAAGCGTGTTATCGATGTCAAAAAGCAACCAGAACCTCAAAATTATTAAATAATTCAGTATCGCGTGATGAAAATTCAGTGTTCTTATTGGATCAAAAATATCAAAATGCAATTCTCATAATTATTCACTACGAAACAAGTCTTGACAAAGCGTCTGACGTTTTATTGATAAGTATGTTCTAATTTCAGTTGTTTCTACAACATGACCGACTTCCTTAGCTTATGCTCCAGGTCAGGTCAGGTCAGGTCAGGTCAGGTTAGCTAATGGAAGTAAAAATATAGAAACGAAATTGAAAGACAATACACCAAAAGCTTTAAACATTTAACAAAAAATCAGACAGATATAAGTGCAATTTATTCTTTTGATATGAACTGTTTTAATAATTAATTTAACTTGAACGTCCTTGAAACTCCAAAATTCTTTTCGCCTCTCGAAATCCAGTTTCGATAGCGCCATGCACTGTTGCATAATGAGTAGAACTTGTGGCTTCCCCTGCAAACAGCACCATAGGTTTCCCGTCATCATTTCGCAAGGGCTGACCTAATTCTTCTTGATACGTTAAATTTTCTTTATACTTTCCATTTTTTACGTACGAATACGCACCCTCAAAATTTGGACTGGTACACCATTTAGTCGCTATAATTGTATCAATATTTCCTACATCATAATCTCTACTTAAAAACTTATCCAAAACATACTGACACCCTCTTTTCAACACATCGTTAGACAACTTTTCAATTTCAGGTATCAAATCTCCACCAAACCACCCAATCCAAACGTTGGCATTGTGTAAAACTTGAGAAATGTCCCTAAACTGTGCGACCCAAGAAACGCCATTACTCTTTGGTCCTTCTGTGAAATCTATCCTGTTTAAATCTTCGTCACTCCAGAAAAACGAAAAAGCTCGATCTTCGCTTTTCCACCATTTTTCAGGAAAACGAATTACGACTTTCATCACGCCACCCATGTCTGTTGCCTCGAGGGCTTCTTGTTTTGACAATGGTAGTGGAGGGTGAAACAATGTGTCTTTATTTTGTTTTAACACGCCAAGTGAAGGAGTAAAAATGACGTAGTCAGCCGAGTGGCATATTTTGTCAGATGTTATGACACGAACGGTATTATTTTTTTGGTCCCAACAAATTTTTTCTACTTTTGTATTTAGCCGAATTTTATTGTGTGGAAGTTTTCTTTTGTTGGAGTCAGGGTATGATCCTATTAAAATATCTAGAAGTGTTTTATAGCCGGGTTTTTTCCAAACCAAAGATTGATCTCCTTCACAAACTATGTAGCTGCTCTCTGCCGATGAATCTTCCCAAGAAAATGTGCCTTCGACCATTAGGATATAACCTTCTGCAAATCTCACACCTTCTTTTAAAATCTGCTCATATTCTTCGTTGCTTCCATATTTCTTCAATACTGTTGAATTATACCTGAAAAAAAGTCGCTTTAGTGTCAAACTTTTTTTAAATATCTTACCTTTGCATAAAGCATTTTCCTATAGAGTTTCCTTTTGTGTTATTGTTATCAATTTCATTAATTTGATAATCGAGAATAAGAGTTCTCAATTCCTGTATGAATTCACAGTCTAATTTGGAACCGTTCGAGTAGTAAATATGTTCATCCATTGGTTCAACTCCTGGTTCTAAGACATCCAAATCTTTAGCGAGTTCATACGTAATATTATTTTTTTCTCCATGACAGTATTCCGCTCCTAGTTCAACAAACGAATCACCAAATTCCATGCTATGTATTCTGCCACCAATTCTGTCTTCGGCCTCTAGAATTAATACGTTCTCTATAGAATTTTCGAGTAGTTTAGTTCCTGCAGCAATTCCTGCAACTCCTGCACCAATTATGATCACAGATGGGTTTTTCATTTCTGTGAATTCTAAAACAAAACAAATACCTAAACATTCACGATAAATGAAAATACGTAGCAATTCTGAAAATTATCTATAGCATGTTTTTTAAATTGTACTAAGGGGAGGCTCTGGAAACAAAAAATGTAAAATGCCTAAATAGTTTAATTAGTTTAACCTCAATTTGTCTCAATGACAGTGACATTTATATAACAATCTGTGTCAATGACAATAACATGTAAAAAAATAATTAAATTATTTCACATATTTGGCTTCCAGGGCCTCTGTACACTTCAAATTTAAAAAATTATACAATAAATAGCAAGTGTAACAATTAAGATTTTAGGGATTTTGTGGGATTTTAAATATTATGATACAACTTCGTCACTTTGACATAGTATGATCGACTGAAAACGAAACTTGTGATTACAAAAGTTTATTTGTCGAACTGACTGTGCAGCTTAGATATCTTCTGATAATGAACGGATGTTTACAAATCAAGTAAGTGTCAGAATGTGTACCGCGGTTCGTGCATGATATTTGCAATCTCGTATTTCTCATTAGAAAAAGACAGGCAATAAAATTTCAGTTCAGAGTCATTTTTAACTTATTGAAGATTTACATTTACAAGGAACAAGTATTGTTAAAATTTCTAAAGAAAACTTAATGCCAGTTTATATGTTGTTCCAATAACGAATACTGATTTCTAATTAATTTTACTTACGTCTACGTTATCAGCTGTCAAGTTCACGTACTAACACACCAAATATCAAACACTACAATTAAGTACCCACTACCTATGTAGGCATCCGCGCTTGTACTAACGTTCGTTCAGCCAAAACCTTACAAAGTAGCCACAACTGATGTAAAATGAAAGCAATGTTGTACTGTATTCTAACAATGTACGATAAGAAAGAATCTCTTTTGCGTAAGTAGTGTTTAAAACACTAGGTTACCTATTAAAAACAATGCCAAACTAGTTCATAAAAAAGACAAAAAAATCAGAGTGTTAAAACAAATATGTGGCAATGGCAAAATAACTCAACTTTATAAACCTGACCTGAACTATGAAAAATTGTCGCTTCAAGTTTTAGGTGTACTCCACATCTTTTTTCCAGCTAGGAATTGCCGAAAGTGTAACTTTTCTTCCTTATAATTTGCCACTAATTTATCATCGCATATCATCCTTCTGATTAGGATTTTGCCTATAACTGTAATTTTATACCCCTAACTACGTAAAATTAGGCGATTTATGAGCTTCACATAGCCACACCTCGCGGAGCATCCTGATCGCAAAATCCCTAGCGACGTACAGGAATGGAGGACATGACCCTTGCTCTCTCCTACCCTGGACCGTGTACCCCAGTAAGAAACAGGATTTAGACTAACAGCAAATGCTATGACCAACGACAATGATAATTTTGACGGTTCTGTCTCCCCTAAATGGATAAGTGTTTAGGGTTAGATTTATTTATTGATATCACTGTATTAGTTAAAATTTCGAGTGATAAGTCAGAAAAGATGAATAATAACTTAAGGAAAATCATATAAAGCTTTAGATATCGTTAATAAATAAGTTAAGCCTAAATAAGTGAATCTCTGTCACTTGCTTTATATTAGAATTTTCATTATTGTTACCAATTTGTGCTAGAACTATGAAAAATTAAGAAGGTGAACCGTGAATTTACAAATAGTGAAACAAAAATACACATGTTGATGGGCTCTTCAAACTTTAGCACAATTCAAATTGGAAAACTGTTACTAAACTGATCTTACATTAATTACACTCGTGTGGGGACCAAAGTTTATAGCTTAAAATTATTGTCCTTTAGTAAAATTTAACAAACAAAATTTAACACACCGTTTGGATACATGGTCCAAAGGCAGCCTCGCGTAATTTTTTTCTTAGGGCAGAATTTAATTTTCAAATCGGGCCTTAACACAGGTTTTGGTAGAAATAAAAAACGTTTATATCATATCCATACGTTTATTGCCGTACTATCAAAATTTTAAAACAAAATTTTACTTAAGCAGTTCAATAATTCTTTCAGCCTCTCTTTTCCCAGACTCAACTGCACCATGAACGGTCGAATAGTGTATAGGATTTGTGGCTTCTCCTGCAAACAAAAGTACTGATCTACCTTCTTCATTAACTAACGGTTCCGCTAATTTTGCATTATGCGAAACATTGTCTTTAGAATATCCCACTTTTTCAAAAGAGTATGTTCCTCGAACGTGTGGATCGGTACACCACTGAGACCTAATAACACAGAATTTCAGCAAAGGTTATATTCACCAATAATAAACCACCTACTTTAATACCTTATCCGCATCTGTGACATTGTAGTCTTTTCCCAGAAACTTTTTAAACAAGTAATTACATCCTCTAAGAAGAATATCATCTGGAAGCTTTTCTATTTCTGGTATTAAATCACCCACGTACCATGCGATTAAAACGTTGTAGTTAGGTCGTATTTGTACCAAAGATGGAATGTTAGCTAACCAAGAAATTCCGTCCTTACTTGGCCCATCTGGGAACTCGTTGGTGCTATTAAGTAAATCTTCCTTACTCCAGAGAAACGAAATCGCATAATCATCGTCCTTCCACCACTTTGTAGGAAAATGCAAAATAATTTTCATTACACCATCGAAGCCTAAAGCATCAAGTGCCTCTTTTTTTTGTTTTGGTAAATGTGGATCAAATAATGAGTCCATCTGTTCTTTTAAAACTCCAATAGAAGGAGTAAAAATGACATGGTCAGCTATAAGCGAAACGTTATCAGAAGTTTCTACCACTACCTTACTTTTGTTCCAGGTGATTTTTGTTACCGTTTTGTTTAAGAGAATTTTATCATCTATAGGTAATTTGTCGTTTGGATTGGGGTAACTTTTCATAAGAACGTCTAGTAAGATACGGTAACCTTGATTTTTAAACACTAGGTTTTGGTCACCGTCACTGCCAACGAAGTGATTTCTGGATGCTACTTTCTCCAAAGAGAACGCACCTTCGTATATAAGAATGGCATCTTTGACGAACTTCAGTGCATCTTTAACGATTTTCTGTTTTTGTTCATCGTGGCTGTATTTCTTCAGTACACCTGAATTGTAGCTACAATTCTGTTTGTAGTTTGAAAAATATTACAAGATTTAACTTACACTTCTAAAAATGCTTGCTGCAAACTTACGCCACTACTTGCATTCAAGTATTCATCGTAACTAAAAATCGTGTTTACCAAATCTTCTGCTAAATCCGTTGCAACAACGTGTCCATTGGAAGTGTACAACTTTGCAAATGCTAATTTGCTGAGGTTGGAAGATTCCAAAACATCTAATTTTTCTAGTAGTTGATATACGAGATTTCCGTTCTCACCATGGCAGTACTGAGCTCCTACTTCTACTACACCGCCGCAAAAATCAACACTGTGTATTCTACCACCAATTCTGTTTTTTGCTTCCAATACAGTAACATTTGTAATTGAATTTTCTAGAAGAGTTGTTGCTGCCGCAATTCCAGCAGCACCTGCACCTACTATTATTACTGATGGACTTTCAGCTGCAGCAAAACTGCTGTATACTTTAAGGAACAACACCAAATAAAATAGTTGCATTTTTAGGTACGCCTTAGAAAAAGTCGTTGTATGAAATATAAAAACACGATTTAAACAAGTTGTTTTCATTTTATTATGTTAAGGATGACCTTTAAATTGAAAAAGATTAGTCCTAGCTAATCTCTTGAGCAAAATAAACAGATAAGAATTAGACATCAAGTGTAATGAAAGTTTACATTCTAATATCAATAATTGTTTTATACTGATACACAATAATTATTATCCCTACTAATAATATTATAAATGTGAATGTGAGTTTGTTTGTTACGTTTTCACGCAACAACTACTTAACCGATCATCATGAAACTTTGTACACATACTTTTGGAGGTACTAGAAGTAACATAGGATACTTTTTATTAGAAAAAATATGTATTTTTTACTATAGTTTCCAATTGACGATAATTTCAGCTGTTTAGAATTTTTCTATATTTATTTTTATTTTCGTCTGTCATTTTTATATATATGTATATGCAGTATAAAACTATTTTAATTTTCGAGGTTAGATGCCACTTTATTATTTTTTTAGTAATTTTTAAAAATTGATAATCCCAGCCAAACTATAAAATATAGAATATGGCGAGCGAAGCCGCTTGTAAAAACTAGTTATGTAATAATTTTTATGTGAAGTACTACTATAGAAGAAAAGAGCAAACACATTTTAAGCATCTAAATTTCTGAAATAAAAACCCAAACCCAATTTCAAGTTACCTCGTGACCATCAGTTGGTAATTCTTCAAGCAAATCTCAAAAGTTTTAAAATTTATCTAAACGTAGTAATAGCTCCAAAATTATAAATCAGAAATTTAATCAGAATCAACTTGTTTCTGATTTTCTAATCTGAATTTACATATCAGCGTGAACTGCAGTGGTTTTTTGTTCGATGTGTAAGGTTGTTACCCACAAACTTCTTCGTTTTACCTACTAAGAAACGCATCACTTGTAGTGTCTTAGTATTAAATACTAAATCACCTACAAGCCATGCGATGAATACTTGAGAAGTTTGGTACTTTTGGCGAAACAGAATTACGTTTCAAAGTCCAGATAATGGAAACGAGAGAATCACCTTATTTGCACATCATTGTATTTTTAGTCCAAAAATTATGGTTTCAATAGACTTTACTATTATTTGATTGTTTTTCCAAATCATTTTTTCTTAAGAGTCGTATAAAAATGACAGTTTTCTGAGAATGCAAAAGACAAAGTTACCAAATGAGCTATTTTTGATATAATAGGCAAAAAGCTTCATATATTGTTGGCACAGAATTGTTCGTAAAAACAACGGACGAATCAATGAAATTTTAAGATTTTTCTCGCATATTCTCATCGCCGAAACAAATTAGTGAAAACTTAACGATTTTTGGGGAATCCGTAAATATAATATTAAAACTAGATACAAAATGAACAGATTGTCAGTTCGTTAGGTGGACGATAGTTTACAAATCTTCAAAAGTAGCTGACGATTTTCCATTGAGAACTACGTTGTATTCATAATTATGACAAATGCAAGCCAAGGCACGTGTGCTTTTTTAACAAATAAGGAAATTCTTGTAATAACACTGTTTTGCGTAAAAAAATCTGCCGATAACCTTCCTGATTTCTAAGTAAACTATGAAAATTGAAATAATTTGTAGTTTATCTACGTTTAGATAAACGAAATTCCAGACTTTTTGCTGCAAAATTATGTTATGAAAACGTACTTAAATATTTACGGTATTGTTATTAACGATGATAATGAATACGGTGTGAAATCACCCCCCTCCCCTCTCTCGTACAGCTTTGAAATTTAAAACTGGTGATGAAAATTAAAGTGAAAAGTGGAAAAATGCTTGAACTTAAGGTGCCTTGGCATCAAGACCGCCAAAGCCACAAATTTCCAAACGTTTTTACTTTGTTATTTTAATAGATGAAAAAAATATGGCAACTGTTTCCGATACAGTTTTTTACCCACTACCCCGCTATTCTTATATTTTTGAAAAAACAGTTTTCGTTATTTAAAAAAATGAAAAAAACGTTTAAAACTTAAAACGAAATATTATCGCTAATGTTGACTGTTTTAAAAATTTCAAAAAACCATTAAATAGAATATATTTTACACTAGCCCGCTATTATTTTCGTTTCCGTTCAATTCATCAATTTTTTGTGTAAATTATAAATTAAAAAAAGTAAATTATGCAACCATAAATACAATTTTAACCATTCTCGACAAAGACGGAGACAAGTTGCTACTCCGACACGGGACTTCCAAGAACGGATTAGCAGGGGTAGCTTATTGAGCTGATAAGACCGGCAGGTACGGATACATCGTATATAAATAACCTCATTGCAAAATGGTTTTCATTTCTTACTTGCCAAGTAAAGAGAGTGTTTCATTTTAAAAATAATGGGTGTACACAGTAAAAAATCAAAAACTGTTGGTGTCAGAAGAAAAAGCAGAAAACAGATGATGAAACATGTCCATGCTAGAAGGAGGTAAGCTCTTTTTATACTTATAATAAATTAATAGTTGTTAAGACTCGGTTTATAGAAAGCGAATTAAAGTTAATTCGCGATTAACTTTTAATAAAGATCCGTTGCTAGGCAACGTGCATGTTTTAGCCAATTACGGGTTCACATTCTACATTTTAATCCTCGGTTAAATTAATCGACGATATTTATTAGTTCGCTTTGTATAAACCGGCCTACTTAAATGATTTAGATTTATTTGATCATAGATCTGTTAATGAAAAAATGTAGTTCTACACTGATATTGATATTGATATCAATACATTGATATCTTTAATGTTCAATATAAATCATTTCTAATTACGGTTCTTTTAATTTAAAGTAAGAAGTATATATCACCAGGTACTGAACTGCAGGTAGTTCGGATAAACGTATTATTAGTAAACAGACCTATCATGAGGATTAGTTTGTCCTAATAGCAATGAACAATAGGCGCAACCCTTAGTACCTGGAAAGCTTCTTACAGAGATTATAGCTTCTGTTATTATTCATTTCTATTACTTTAAAGTTAGTTTAACTGCTCAAGCGCTTAGTTTTACTGCACCAGCAGAAAGCTGCAATAATTCAATAAACCGTCACAAAAAAAACATTTATTTGTAAATTGTTACAAATTAATATTTGGTGTTTTTTTATAGAGCAGCCGAAATCACCAATCAAGATGAATATTTGGAAAATGAACTAGCTCAGGAAAGTAATGAGGAATTTCCGGCATTGGAAGTGGAGAAAGATATTTCTTTTCCAAAAGAAAACATAAAAATTGAAGGGCGACGAATGGTGGATATACAACATTTGTGGAAATCTCTACAATCGCTGAAACATGTCGGTTTTGGTTGCGACTTCTACGACATCGAAATTGTTGGAGAAAAACGTCAAGGTCTAGCAAGCACGTTTTTTACCAAATGTCGTGTGTGCAATTTCACTAGTAACTTCACTACCAATGATGAAAGTGACAAAGAAATAGACATAAATAAGAGTGTTATAGTAGGTGCATATGCCTCTGGAATAGGTTTTTCACAATTGTGTGATTTATTTGGGGCCATGAATTTTCCGAAAATGTCACATCACACATATAAGAAATTTGAAGAGAAAATTCAGGATGTTACGAGAATAGTAGCGGAACAAAATTTTTTAGAAGCTGGAAAAGAAGAAGCAAAATTAGCTGTCGAAGCTGGAGACGCTGATGACGACGGACTTCCTATTATTACAGTAATTGTAGATGGTGCTTGGTGCAAAAGATCATACAAGTCAAATTACAACGCTCTGTCTGGAGTTGCTTGTATTATAGGGGCTCGTACGAAAAAAATTTTATATGTCGGCGTAAAAAATAAATACTGTTTTACATGTGACAGAACCAAGTCACGTCCATCAGCTCCAAACCATCGATGTTTTAAGAATTGGTCTGGTACAGCAACATCTATGGAGTCAGAAATCATTTTAGAAGGATTCCAATGTTCCCTTGCAACACATGGAATAAAATATGGTAGAATTATTGGCGACGGGGACAGCAGTGTCTACAAAAAGATTCGTGATAGTAAACCATATGGACCACATTTTTTTATTGAAAAAATCGAATGCAGGAACCATATCCTAAGAAATTACTGTAACAAGCTGCGTGAACTATTTAAGTCTGCAAAGATTGACATGAAACTTCGTCTTTTTTTGCAAAGTAGTATACTACGACTACGTACTGCCATTGTTTCTGCGCTTCGGTATAGAAAAAATGAAAATGGAGCATCATACTTATACACAAATTGAAAATTTAAGGAGTGACATAATAAATGGCCCAAAACATGTCATGGGACATCATGACGGTTGTAAAGATAAATACTTCTGCAACGGCCAAAAACCAGGAGAAGTCGATTTATACGAACAATTTAGAAAATGTGGAGTTTTTGAGGAATTTAATAAAGCTCTTGCTCGTGTTGCCAATAATGCAAGTAGTTTACTTCACGATGTTGACAACAATTTAGCCGAAAATTTTAACAGCATAGTTAATAAATTTGTTGGAGGAAAGCGCATAAATTTTTCACTTTCAGGAAGCTATGAAACCCGGTGTTATGCAGCTGCACTAGAGTTTAATAAAAAATCATTTATTTCATCTGTTGAGAGATATTTCAATAAGTCTGGAAAACTTGGAAAATATACGTCAAGTCATTGTGACAAAAAAATCGTTACAATTCCGAGAAGGCCAAGAACCAAAAATAAAACATTCCACTCTGAGGATAATGATTACGGAAGTAATGCTTACGAGACATTTGAAGACAAAAGTACCGAGGAATTGGAATTATTGAAGCAAGGATTTTTGGAAGGACTGGACAAAAGCGATTTAGACTTTGTAGAGGAAAATACACGAGGACAACGACTAAATCCGTTATGGATGAAGGAAAGATCAGTTCGTCTGACTGCAAGCTACTTTGGACAAGTGTGCAAAATGAGATCTACAACTTCTACTGCCAATTTAGTGAAAAACATTTTGTATGCCAGACCTTCAAATACTGCTCCGATTTTACATGGAATTATTAACGAAGAAAAAGCTATTGCTGCGTTTGAGAAAAAATGCTCTCTAAAAGTTGAACCCTGCGGTTTATTTATAGATCAAAATGAAAGATTTTTGGCTTCTTCACCAGATGGAATTATTGGGAACGACGGAATAATGGAAGTGAAATGCCCTTATTCAGCCCGCGACTACAGTGTAAAACAGGCTGTTAGCAAAAAAATTATTTCTTACTGCACAATTGATAAATTTAACAAAATAAAATTAAAAACAAATCACAGGTATTATTTCCAAGTACAAGGTCAGTTGCACATAACTGGACGAAATATATGCTATTTTGTAATATATACGAATAAAGATGTGCACTGGCAAATAATAAAAAGAAATGATACTTTTTGGCAAAATTTTATGGCGGTGCCGTTACAACGATTTTATATGTCAGCACTGCTTCCTGAAATTTTAGACTCGCGAAAAAGAAGAAATTTGCCGCTGCGAGCAATTAAATCCTCGGATTTATAAAAAAAATGTGCGAAGTAAAATTGTATATAGTCTAAATATGTATATTTTTTTAATTTGCCTAATTTTTAAATAAAATGTTAATGTGTGTTTCAATAGATTCCTTTAGCCCGATTTGAGTATGTATAAGTATATTTATTGAAAATCAAAGAATTGCAGTAATTTGGTATGCGAAATTCGGCACAGACAAATTTCTGAGAAGTCTTATCTCAAATCTACTTACAAACCCTCCCACTGAACATAATCCGTAATCCGCAAGCGAAAAGATGCAGGTAAAAGCATAAAGTATAGAGGGTTGCAGTATCCATAGTACAAATTAGTAACACTCGAGTGCATTTCTGATCTGAGTGCCAAGGCACCTTAAGAAGGGAACTGACAAATGTCTGATTACAGTACTGTTTATTAAAATTTACAACCAGACACCGTGATACTGCATTTTAAAACTGTTTTCTCTGAATTTGTAGAACTAATACACCGAAAGTATATTATTACGATGATCGGTGATTGAAATCGGCGTGGGTTAAACGCAACCATTTATTTCTTACTAACTAAAATTTACACGACCGACTGGACAGCGATTATGTACAAAATAATTCCGGCGCAACTTGGCTGGACTCTGTCTTGACTTCACTGGACTCGACTCGACGGAATTGGTCGAATAATGCTCGACTTTGCAGGGTTGCTTTATTTTATGTTTGGAGTCAATGAAGACAAAACAAAATATATGTGTGGATGAAGAAAATTTTTAAACGTGGAGCATATAATTTCGAAGCAGTAGAAAAAATCAATATTTGAATAGAATTAAAGTGGGTGGTTAATTTTTAACGTTTATGAATAAACAAAAGTTTACTTTTCTAAAAAGTAAAACGTGGCTGTAGCACTGAGCCAAAAAATTCAACTCTGGACCAGCTGCCCCAAGACCAAAAATTTGAAAAAGAATTTATTTTTTATTATGATCCATAGAAAACATTTTTATATCATGTATTAATCTGAGAGGGCCTGGTAAATCTATTTATCATTGTGTAACTGTATGATTCTTTCTGCTTCCCTTATTCCGGTTTTTATAGCACCGTGAACTGTTCCATACTGTGTTGGATGCGTAGCTTCTCCAGCAAATAAAACAGCAGGATGCCCTTTACTGTTGAGTAACGGTTCTGCCAAGATGCTTTGAGGAAAAATATCACTTCTAAAATATTCAACTTTTTCATGTGAGTACGTTCCCAAAAAATTGGAATTTATAGCCCATTGAGATCTAATAAACAAAAAAAACATTTATAATGAACAATATCAAGTATCAGATACCTACCTGATAATCCTGTCAGCGTTCGTAATGTTATAGTTTTTTCCCAAAAATTTCTTGATTAGGTAGTTGCACCCTCTAAGAAGCACGTCCTCTGAAGATTTTTCAATTTCAGGTATTAAATCACCCACGGCCCATAACGAAAACACATTAGGGTTATGTGGCACCTTTGACAACATCGGAATGGAGGCCAACCATGAAATTCCATTCTTACTTGGCCCATCTGGAAATTCATTTTTAATGTTAGGCAAATCTTCTTTACTCCAAAGAAAGAAAAAAACAGAGTCATTTTGGTTCCACCATTTTTGTGGAAAGTAGATAATAATCTTCATAATTGCATTGATGCCGATAGCTTCGAGGGCATTTATTTTATTTTGAGGTAAATCTGGCTCAAATAAAGCATCCTTTTCAGCTTTCAACACCCCCACCGATGGCGTAAAAATCACATGATCTGCTTTCAGTGAAGTGTTGTTAGCACACTTTACTTCTATTTTATCGTTGTTCCAAATAATTTTTTCAACTTTTGTATTCAAGACAATTTTATCGTCAATTGGAAGTTTTTCGTCAGGGTTGGGGTAACCTTTCATTAGAATATCTAAAATAATGTGATATCCTCGGGTTTTCCAAGTCATGAAGCCACCTTCACATTCGATAAAATGTACTTTCGCTGGAAGTTGATGCCAGCTGAATATACCTTCATCTAATATTATTACATTCTCGATTAATTTTATACCATCAGTCGCTAATTTGAGTTTTTGTTTGTTATTTTCATACCTGCTGAGCACAGTTTTGTTGTATCTGAAATTTACGTTATACTGAATTTGAAATTTATGGTTTAATTATTAGGAATTACTTGGATAGAACGGCATCTCCTAGAGTAACGTTTTCTGTATTGGTAATGTTTTCTACATAAGATCTATAAACTGCAACCAACAACTCTTCCTTTAATTCTGAATCTGTCGTAGAACCATCAGACAAATACACTTGAGAAAATTCTCCGGTGTACGGTTCCAAAAGGTCTAAATCTTTTACCAATTCGTAAGCGATGTTACCTTCTCGACCATCACAATACTCTCCCCCTAAGTCCACATAACCGTTGCCAAATTTAACGCTGTGTATCCTACCACCGATTCTGTTTTCCGCTTCCACGATTTTAATGTCAGTAATTGAGTTTTCTAGTAGTTTTGTTGCTGCTGCAATTCCTGCCGGTCCAGCACCTATTATTATTACCGAGGAACTTTTGGCCAACACATTGTTGGTTCGGCTCAAGAGGAAGAAAAATATGTATAGCGTCTGTCGATATATCATTCTGATTCTTCAATTAACATAACAACACACACAAAACTGTTTTGGTCGTAATTATTTTGAGATCGTTATTTATATCTACTTAATTATTAATCAACTAATAAATAAAAGTTTTTAATTATCATGCTTGGATATAACCTTGTAAAATTTCGACCAGTGTTATCAGTTGATTTAAATTTTGTAAAAATTCAAATAATCTGAAGATGTGTTTTTCAAAAAGGTGTAATAAAACAAGTTGAAGAAGAGTTTAAGAAATAATAGATATTTATTTTCAAACGTCATATAACTGACACTTATATGACGGTCTTACCGGGGTTTAAGAGTCATTTCTATGACACCGTGTTTGAGCGGCGTATAAGTACTGCTTATACTCCGCCGGCGTATAAATATAGTTATTTACATTACAAGCTGCGTAAGGAAACTTTTTTGTCGAGGTGGATTTGACGGGCCGAGGCAACGCCGAGGCCCGGCAAACCTCCGAGACTTAAGAAAGGAGTTACGCAGCGTGTATTGTATTACGTTTTTTCTGCTACCGACACCAGTAACACTAAAAAGTAATAATTCTAGTAACTAAAAAATATTTAAGAAATTATCAGGAACTCATTGAACGTATTCATTTCCGTAGCAACAAGATAAAAAAATTTGTTTACAAGTGAAGTTTTCTAATAAAAAGTAGTTGTTCAAAGTGAAAAATGAGTGATTCAAGTCATTTACAGGCTATAGAAGAAGCTGCCAATATTGCTTGCGCATGTCTGTTACCTGAAAAATCGAAATTCCGTTATAATGAAACTTACAACTTACAACGCATTTTCAATTTGGTATACATCACGAAACATTCAAGATGTTAATGAAACCGTAAATGTTTGGTTATTTTAAGGAAAGATCCGGAGCCCGCAAGTCTCCTAGCAGTTTATGGTGTGAATATTCAATGCTGAAATTAACGTCGTGTCAGTTCTTCTGTTTGTTACCTCAATTATATAAGAAAATGTTGGAAGCTCATGCAGTTGATGAAAATGTGACAGTTACTAATTTTGAAATAACTTCAAATAATAATCCTTTAATAAATATTACTGAGTGTAGTGTTACAGTTAATATTAATAAATAATTATAAAAGAAACTATTGCTGTAAAATGAAATTATTGACATTTCTCTGACATTCTACTACTTTCATTACTTTTTTGTCCTGGCAGCGTAAGTAACACTTACGCCCTTAGTAACCTACTTACGGAGCTAGCAACGAGGTTGCCCTATTTACTTCACTTACGCTTACATCAGTGTCACTGGAGCAATAAGATTCATTTACGCTATCGGTAGCAGAAAAAAGCATTTATACTCCGCCGGAGTATAAATATGTGAAAATCATAGTGGTTGTCAACCATAGTAACCATGGTAAGTGAAATCAAGGCAATTCCTTAATGAAGCAAGAAGATAAGAAATAATCATTTCAAAAGAAGATTAATCGTTTGAAAATAAAATATTGTATTTCATTCGGAGTTTAAGTGACTTTATGTGACTTTATGTTTTCTATTTATACTCCGGCGAAGTATGAGTAGTACTCATGCGCCGCTTAAACACGCTAAATAAAAAATAAAAATGACACTTAAATCCCGGTAACACCGTCATATAAGTGTCAGTTATATGACGTTTGAAAATAAAACTAATTTACCCAAAAAAATAAAGCGTTTTTAATTTCCAACTGCAATCTACTCAATGGCCAAAAATAGTCTGTATATAATAATATATTTTTAAGAAATTTTCAATCTCATTTTCAAATATGAAAATGATATTGAAAATCTCTTAAAAAAATCTCTACATTCACTAAAAATGAGTATTAAGTATATTGTATAAATTTTTGAAATTTGCAGTTTTAATAGAAGACACGAATGTATTCACTATAATCTGAAAACTTTTTCAGACCGTCTATGTAGATACACAGTTTTAAGTATGTAATTTGAATCAACGAAAAATCTCTTAATGCTTGTAAAGTAACGAAATTTCATTTTGACAACATTATTGTTATTAATAAAAAGGCTTATTATAAATTTAAGGAACACTTTTAGGAACTTTAAAATTCATACTTATACAAAACAAAAAGAAAAATAATGTGTGCGATGCGTATATAACAAAAATTAAACTTATAGACTTATAACTTTTATTTTTTGAGGTCCATTATTCTTCCTGCTTCTCTTAATCCACTGCTAATAGCACCATGCACGGTTGAATACAACGTAGGATGTGTAGCTTCTCCAGCAAATAGGACTATAGGCTTGCCTTTATTATCAACTAATGGTTCCGCCAACTGTGCTTGGTACGAAAAATCCTCTTTAAAATAACCAACTTTTTCGTAAGAATAGGTACCCAAGAAATTTGGATTTGTGTTCCACTGAGATCTAGCAACAATCACATAGGTAATAAAACAAATTATTTAGAAACTCTAACCTTACCTTAATATTTTATCCGCATCGGTGACATTGTAATCCTTGCCCAAAAATTTCTTAATCACGTAATTACATCCTCTAAGCAGTACATCTTCTGAAACCTTTTCAATTTCAGGTACTAATTCACCACTGACCCATACGACAAAAACATTAGCATTATTTGGAACTTTCACTATGGCAGAAATAAATGAAGCCCAAGAAACGCCATCTTTTCTCGGTCCATCTGGAAATTCGTCAATAATCTTAAACAAGTCTCGCTTCCGCCATAAGAAAAAGAAATTAACATCATCGTCCTTCCACCACTTCTGGGGATAACGTATAATAATCTTCATTATACCATTGAATCCAGTAGCTTCAATTGCGTTTAATTTTTCTTTTGGTAAAGATGGTTCAAACAAAGAGGCTTTATTTTTCTCTAAAACTCCTACAGACGTGGTAACTATCACATGATCTGCTGTGAATGAAGAATTATCAGAACACCTGACTACCACACCGTTGTCATTCCAAATAACTTTATTAACTTTTTTGGTTAAGAGAATTTTGTCATCAATTGGAAGTTTTTGGTCAGGATTTGGGTAGCTTTTCATAAGAATGTCCAAAATAATGCGATATCCGCCACGCTTCCAGGTTAGTGCTTGGTCACCTTCACATGCCGTGTAGTGTCTTCCAGCCGCTGGTTGTTGCCAGGTGAAAGAACCTTCATGCATGACGATTAGATCTTGTAACATCTTAATAGCATCTGTAGCAACTTCAAGATTTTGTTCTTCGTTAGTGTATTTTTTTAATACTGTCACGTTGTACCTGAAACCATTAATTAGAGAACGAAAATGACTTAACTTAAAACGTACTTCTTCAGAAAGGCATCTCCCAAACTCGCGTTGCCGGTGGTATCCACATCGTCGTAAGTATTTAAGGTAGATTTTAATTCTAAAGCCAGTTCGGAATCGATGGCGGAACCTTTAGAATCATAGATCTTGTTGTTTTCAGAGCTTAAAGGGTCTGAGTGCTCTAACAGACCCAAGTTGTTTGCTAGTGTAAATACAATATTTCCTTTTTCTCCGTGGCAGTATTCAGCACCAAGGTCCACAAAAGTGTCGCCAAATTCCACAGTGTGAATCCTGCCACCAATTCTGTCTTCCGCTTCCAGAATTGTGATATTAGTAACGGAATTTTCTAACAGTTTTGTTGCCGCAGCGATTCCTGAAGGTCCTGCACCCACTATTATAACTGAAGGGTTTTTTGCTAGTGCGATATTGAAATTATACACAAGAAACAAAAATAAGTACACTAGTCGCGACATCATAGCGAATACGGACACTGATTTCAAATCAGTGATATTAGTCTAATATTAATGTGTAATATTTTTATTAAATTTATGTAATTTAGAGATAAGTTTGTTTTTAATATTTATAAGTTATCACATTTTGTGGTGATAAAACCTTTCCTATGAGTACAACAAAATAAATAAGTTTACATCTTGTCGTATTGTATATTGTTTTTTTGTGCATTTAGCGAAACTTTATACCAGTCACTGGTGAGACTGATAACTAAAAGTCACTTAAAAATGTTTCAATTTTAACTTCTACACGACATAATTCTGATAATCTTCCTTCAATAATTTTCATCTAGTACATTCATCAGAATAAAGCAATTGTGGACAACTTATTATACAGGATCATCTGAAATGCTGCCTACACTTAGACTAGCTTAACATGGACAATGATTAGTGATTACGTAAGACATGGTGAATAACAACACCGTTGTAGACATGTCATTTTGGTTTCTTGGGTCGGTATAATAATAATAATAATAATAATAATAATAATAATAATAATAATATATTTCGTGATAATCATTACAAAAAATGTTTCACATGTCCGTAAACTTAAATTTAATAAACTCCGATGTACAATAGAAAACGTTATTAATTAATAATTCTTTGACAACTTTACAAAATACATTCTCAGGTAATTCTTTTAATGACACTGGAAGTACATTAAATAGTGTAATACAATAATACCGTAGAGCTGTTCTTGTTCTCGTTAATCTTTGGAAATCTGTTTGTAGCCATTCTTTATATCTTGTTTGATGCTCATGGTCCAGGGATCTAAACTGATTTGGATTAGCTTTCACATATCTAAGACAAGCATAAATATAAGCTGATGGTAGTGTCATAATACATAAATTTTTAAATGATGCCCTACAGTCATCTCTATAATTTAACCCGGCTATAATGCGAATACATTTTCTTTGGATAGCAAATAATTTTAACAAATGATGAGAATGACCCCATACTAAAATTGCATATGATAAACAGTTATGAATATATCCAAAATAAGCTGCTCTTAATGTTGTTTGAGACACAACTAGTCGTAGCCTGCGAAGTGTGTAGATTCTTTTTGATACTGATTTGCTCAACTTAACAATATGTTGTTCAAAAGTCATTTTTTTATCCAATATTATCCCTAGCATATTAATTGTTTCCTCAACAGTATCCAGCTCTCGTAAAGAAAAATATAGTCTTTGAGTCTTACTCTCATTCTTGCACAATTTATTGGACAAGAACCAAGTATTGATTTCATTCTCTGCTTGAGTAATTTCGTTTATTAATTTCTTTACATCCTGATTACTACCCGCTAGTGTCGTGTCGTCTGCAAACAAAATAAAGTTCGTCATGAAAGAACTGCTTGGTAAATCATTGATGAATATTAGGAATAGGATGGGACCCAAGACAGAACCTTGAGGAACACCATATCTTATTAATTGTCGTGTTGAGTTTACGTTTTTATAATTAACATACTGATACCGATTTGTCAAATATGATTTTAACAATAATAGACTTGAATTATCGAATCCATAAAGTTCCAGTTTTTTTAACAGTAAATCATGTGCGACATATAGGCAGTTTATACATACTGCAGTAGTGAAGTTCTTTTGAATCATATGTATAAATGCGGTAAACGTTGTGGTGTCCCGATTTAAAGAAATAAAAATAAATTTCGCGCTAAAAAAAAACAATGCCGCGAAATCACATTTAAATAATATAAAAATAATTTCAGTAACGTAGGCAATCACTCATGCTTAAGAAGCGCGTTACACAGATTGGGGGAAGCCCACCCTGTTAGGCTGGCAGTTTAGGAGTTTGGAATAGTGCGCAAAAAGATTTTAAAGGTGTGTTGCGAGTGTAAACACGTGTTAAAAGTGGTAAGCAGAGTTTTATTGTAATATCACCAAAGGGCAATTTTTTAAACAAAAATGAATCGCATGTTTGTATGTATATGCGTGATATGTAGTTTACTTTCGGTCCACAAGGATGTAACCTGTGAACACTTTTTTGAAACGTGCAGTATGTTTATATAGCTGGCTACTTTGCGAAAACAGGGTAGGGCGTATAATATGCGGCAAATTTTTTAGGCGTAGAGATGTGGTCTTGGTGTATGTTATACCTGTCAATAGAATAAAATCATCGAGGACAGGTGACTGATTATGACAAAAACCATAATGTACGTACAAACATAACGGCAAGATTCTAACTAGAAACGGGTAAAAATAGTTCAAAAGGCTCGATTATTTCTCCCACTCCTAATTAACCTTGCCAGTCCAGGGTCGCGTGACCGAACATGCAGCGATGGGCTAAGCGAAACAATAACATCGCGCGCTACTGAAGGAAAGTGGTGGGAGTCGCATGGCCTAAAACTGCATCTCTTTAATTATAACTTAAAAAAAAACTTCATGTTTTTAACGCTTTTTCTAAATAGAAAAATACAAAATGTGTTTACTGATTCTTAATACAAATATATATATGTAACATAAATGCTGCAATGATAATAAGTGTGTTTTTCAACAATTTGGTTTTTACATAAAATAGAAAAACTGTTCGATTTTTTAAAAAGAAGAAATCTGAAATTGCTAACGAAAGTTGTATTGCATACATATTAATATGACTCTTAATTTGATATAAAGGGTTTTTGCATAAAATATTTTGCACAAAATCATAGAATTTGTGACAATATTAAGTCATCTTAAATAGCGTTGTTAGATTTTGATCTGTTTAAGCGCATAACAACGGCTAATGAACAAGAATGCTCTTGTCTGTTAAATAATATGTAAGACACGCTATATGCTTTGTAATACTTTATATTTTCATTGTATGCTTAAAAATGTACAGAGTGACATTTTGTCTCATTACAAATTACTTTGCTTCATTGTGGATTTTTATTATTCTTTCGGCTTCTCTATATCCAGTTTCAATTGCACCATGAACCGTTGAATAAAAAAAGGGATGAGTGGCGTCACCTGCAAACAACAAAACCGGCCTTTCCGATTCACCTTTTAACGGTTTTGCTAATTTATCTTGATGCGACCAGCCTTTTCTATAATAGCCTCTCCTGACACTGACATAACCTCCTTTGAAATTATCATTAGTGGCCCAAGACGTTTTAAGAACTTGATCGATTTCCGTAACGTTATAAACTTTCCCTAGAAACTTCTTCAAAACATACTCAACTCCGGATTTCAGAATATTTGAGGGCTGTTTTTCGACTTCTGGTACAAGGTCGCCACTTACCCACGCTGCCCACACATTCCCACCAATTTTTCCAAACTCTTGAATGTAGGTGATCCAAGATAGACCATCGAGCGTTGGACCCTTTGGAAAATCTATAGATCTTAAGTCTGCGTCTCTCCAAAAAAAGGAAAAGTAGTCGTCAGAATCGTTCCACCACTGTACGGGAAAATGGACAAAAATTTTCGCAACTGAGCCAAAATTGAAAGCTTCAATGGCGTCGTTTTTCCAAGAGGGTAAGTTTGGGTTAAAGAGATTAGTTTTTTGGTGTTTCAGAACACCTACGGACGGGGTAAAAATCACGAAATCTGCTGTGTAAGTATTTTGGGAAGTGTAAACTGTGACAGTTTCATTGCCAGTCCATTTTATTTCAGTTACTTTATTATTTAGAAAAATCTTATCGTCAATTGGTAGTTTTTCTGAAGAGTTGGGATAATTCTTCATTAAAATGTTGAGGATAGTTTTGAAACCAACGCCTTGGAAAGCTAAATCCCATGCCCCTTCTAGTTCTTTGTAGTCATTGTCAGCAGCAACATCAAACCACGAGTACGATCCTTCTAGTAACTGTACATTGCCTGCTGCATATCTTAAACCTTCTTTGACAATTTCCGAAATAGTAGAGTTATGCTCATATTTCTTCACCAACATGGATTTGTATCTGCAAATGTGAAAGTCAAAATTGTTGTTACATGGTTTTAGTCTTACCTGTCTATCATAACTTCTCCTACAGACATTCCATCTGTTCCACCATTATCACCGTCATCATTCGGTGCGTAATAACCAAAAATTGTTTCTTCAAAATCACGACTTAATTCAGTGTCCATTTTAGAACCATTCGAATAATACACAATATTTTCCAGGGTTATGGAATCTGATTTTAAAATGTTGTAGTTCTTCGCAAGGTCGTACACAATATTTCCTTTTTCTCCATAGCAGTATTCGGCCCCCAAATCAACAACTTCTCCACAAAACGTGGCGCTGTGAATCCGTCCACCAATTCTATTCTCTGCTTCAAGAATTGTAATATTCGTAATAGAATTTTCCAGGAGTCTTGTAGCTGCCGCTATTCCTGCGGAACCAGCACCAATTATTATCACCGAGGGAGCTTCCGCCAGAACATGATGGCAATAACACAAAAGAATAACTAGATGGTAACGCGACAACATCATGAATTGCCACTAAATGCTAATAATGCCGAGTGATTATGTGTGGAAGACTTTGGAGGAGGATAATTTACGGAAATGTTGCATAACTGTGGAATAATTGTTAATAATTTGCACGGTTATTACAATATTCACATGGTATGGGTTGAAAAAAACCTCTTTGTTTTGTATTTTGCACTGATGTAACCTTCATGTAAGATGGTTATGACTGAATCCGTGTGTTATATATACAGGATGTCCCACTACACATTTCATTGAAAACATTTTTGACGTAGTCTGCTAGAACTCACTTATAAGGTTATAGTTCGTAATTATTTTCAAATATCTAGGATGTTTCACTTGAAATTTGCACACTATAGTGGCATTTTTAAACATAACAGCCTATATATATATTTTTACAGATTTAGACAAAAAAGTAGTAAAAGAAGTAATAACAATGGCAGTAGACAAAACACTGAAAGAAAAAATAGAAAAAAAGAAAGAAAGAAAGAAAGAAAGAGAAAGAAAGAAAGAACTACTGAATCTAAAAGAAAGTTCACGCGATAATACGAATTCTAAAAGTTTTGAACAAATAATTATTTCGGATACAAGGCCCAAAATGTATGTTTGGGAGTATAAGTATGAGTGGTATTGCAGAGCCGAGATGCCAGTCCAGGCGGAGCAACACGAATATACGGACGTGTCCCACAAGATTTTGTGGGCCAATAAGCATTAAAAGTAAATCACGACGAGATAGAAGAAAAATTTTGACATTAGAATTAACGAAATGAACGTCAGAATTTATTAGGTTAATCCTCTTACAAAAAAAAAATGGTTGCCGTTTATTTCGACAGAACTTTCCTAGCTACTGATGTACAAGACCAACAAATGCCGCTTCTTTGAAACATTGTAAAATAATATTTTGCAATGTTTGTTTTGTGATAATTAAATAATCTATACAAAATAAAAACCAGAGGCAAAAATAACACCTCGCCGTGAGGGCACAAATTGCACTGGATACAATGTAAAATAAGTATATTTAAAGCAGATAACCATAGCAAGCCTTAATTGCAAGTGTTTATTTATACATCATAACAATGTCACGTAGAAATTTGTTTGATGTGAATGAGTTTATCGCCCAGGGGACTAAAATTACTAATTAATCCGCAGTCGAACAGAATGTTCTGAATATTATTATTCAATAAAGACGTGCGTATTCTCACCTTTTCGAAACAATGACGTGACCTATTCTTAATTTGATCAATAAAGAATTCGTTATGACGTCATAAATATAAATAATAAAAACAAACGCGACCACCGGTCCAAATCCTGACGCCTTAACTGCATGACCACGGACGGTCATATACTGGTGTTAAAATGGTATTGTACCGTGTTAATTTTCTGTGAACATTTGACCATTTAAGGTAAAAACTCAAAGCGTACACCACAAGTAGTACTATATAATATTTAAATCTATTTAAAACAGAATTCTTTGAAATGACGTCATCAAATTGTTGGTGGGGACGAATAACCAAATTTTGGTTAGCGTTTTACGATCTACATGATATTCCTAATATACATACATACAAAATTTTATAACAATCGGTCTAGTAAATTCGGAGATTACGTGTCTAATAAAAATTGAGAGAGACAGAGAGTAAGAGAGAGAGAGAGAGAGAATGACGGACGGACAGACAGTCAGACAGGCATACATACAGACAGACAGACAAAAACGGGAGACAACTTTTTTCGTATTCTAGGGGTCATGAAACGTCGAGAAAACATAAAAGTCGCCATTCGTCCGATGAACTCGATTACTATATTGCCTTCGCTTACGTTCAGGAAGTAAAAAAACACTGCAATAACCTCAGTTCCTCCACATGTTCAAAATGCTCTTGAGGAAGTAACAAATACATGCACCTAAAATCAAGGATGAACATTGGACAAGACATGAAATTGAAGAATGCAGTCGCGTCATCTGTCAGTAAGGCAAAAAAGTTTAGTAACGTTTTTGCCGAGCTAGTAATTCAAAAGTGGTGCCTTCCAGTCAGTTATGTAAAATCAGCAAAATCGTGCGGAAAAGGGAGGTACCAAGATCCGTTTTTGTAAGGCAGATAACTGACGATGGATGAAAGACAAAAATTAATAAAAAAAAAGAATTATACAAAGAACCACTAGTACCACCATTCCAACTAATTCATATTGAAAGACTGCCAATCTACCCTTATGTAAGAAATTCACACGGATCCAAAGAGGTTAAAAATATGAAAAGAAATCACAAAACGAGCTCTAGATTTTTTTTAATGATTGATAAAAGTGATTAAATGAGCAAATTGTCAGTTTTATCGTGTCATTCAGCTGGGATACCTGTGTTTTATAGCATTTTCGAGCTCATCGCCTAAGCATTTTTTTTTTATCAACAACCTCGTATCCAAAGATACAATTGCAGGTTGTATCATCCTATATAAATTAATTTAAATTTTGTTCAATTTTTTATGTGTACCTGATCTTGGGACAAACTAACTAAAATTGAATAAAATTGTACAAAATTCCAGACCTCCGTTTTTAAAAAAGGCGGACATGATGATTGTGAAGGACAGTTTTAAAGAAGTAAATAATGTTTACGATGTAACTTAAGAAAATAAAAAGTTATTTATTTGAATGATGTGAAGTAACAATATCCAACATAACACAATAATAGAATGTTGGTTGTCTATACACTCAATCCACAAATTATCAACAAATTCAAATATGAAGTGGTATTTAACAGTTCAGAAACAGCGAACGATTTTCTATTCTTTTTATCATCCCCTATTTTTTTTTCAGCAGTATAAAGTACAGTGTGTCGAAAAACGAAAGCGAATCCATAAAATTAGAGCATTTGAATGGAAGTATTATTTATTTGTAGTCTTTCAATTAAAAGTTATAACGAATAATAATAATACGCACTTGTGTTCAAAAATTCACAGAGGTCTTTTCGACATCTGATTGATTAAAAAATGCTCCTTAAGTATTGTTCAGTGTCATATTTAAGTTACGCTTTGGAAGTTAAGTCATCAAATTATCTTATTTTCATTCCTGATTTTTTTTCTACTGTTATTATTTAAGATAATATTAAAACAATCATATCACTATAAAGAGAAGAAAAATTGTACCAGATAGGTACGCTTTAAAAACCTATATAAATACATTTTACATGAAGAAAAAAATTATTGCCACTTCCAGAAAGACTTGACAATTTTAATTACTCTTTGCAGGATAATAAGCGTAGATTTGATTTCGTGCACCACTAGTGATATACAAGGTGTTCAAAAATGGCGCACCAACTCAACCGTTCACATTAATTTCTCAACTTCGAGAAAAATCATTAAAAAATTCCTTACGTCAATTGGACATGATTGGACATAAAACATAAACAAAATCCCGTTTTAGATAGATATATCAAAAAACGTAAAAAAGTAGCCACTGTTGTCAGAACACGATGGATAAATGCAAGATATCTCCAAAATTATTTTTGAATAATGAAAGTTGGATATATTTCAGGTACCCAACACAAAATAGTGAATTTTTTGAGTGAATATGGTGAGATTTTGAAAAGAAAAATTAAACCTTGGGGAGCTATATCCCCTACGTTTGGACAAAAGAATTTTTTAAATTATTTTTTCTCTTCTCCCTATAAAGGGTCGTGAACAACGTGTCATAGACTTGGTGCGCAATTTTTGGGACATTGTATGTATTAGTAGTTTCGGATGCAAATGTCAAACTGAACCATCAGGTACACAAATTTTAAGAAATTACAAAATTTTTCAAGATTGAATTGATAAAATAAAACGCTTCCTACATTAGTTCAAAAAGCTCTATTGAAAGGATAGTTTTTCAGTAAAAATGTCGTTAAAATTAAAAATAAAAAGAGACTGCTTTTGAGAAAATCGATAACAAAAATGAGTTCATGCTTTATCTTTTCAGTTGCAAGACATATTTTTTATCAAATATTTTTCTGGGAAAAACTTGTGTGATAGCATCTTCGGTTTTTTAAGTGGGATTAGTTTCAAAAAGAACTAATCACATAAGCTATTTTTAATTTAATCAACAAAATAAAAATAAATACAAACGACATTACATTGAGGGTCAAATGATCATTGAATAATTTTCAACTTGACGTCATGAATCTTCCGGAGATTAAAAAAAAGATGTATGTTGGATAGCTAATCTTAAATCTTATCAATATTCGAAAGAAGCCCGTTTTGTATATTCTAAAATAAATCTATAAAATTGCATTCCATATTTATTTTCAATTAATAGACGAATATATAAGTAAATTGCAGGAAAACAGCAGACTTCATCAACTTTTTGGGGTATATAGGATAACCTTAATGCACTTGCTTAAAGAATATACAAACGAAAATGAGAGAACGACATTTTCATATTCTATAAATTGCCAAACGCGAGTTTACAGTTTCATAAAAATATTTTTTAGTGGTAGCGTCAATTCCTTACCAATTAGTTCTAATTTATGACTGTCTAATAATTGGAAGTAGTTATTAGGTATTTATTCGTGGACGTAAATTTACAAATACGGTGACCGTTAAATTAATACTGGCATTGTTAAAAATGCATAAATAAAAAGTGACAGATTTCATTTACGGTTATCGTATTTGTAAATTACATCGGGCGCTAACAACTCACAGATTTGTGATGTGATTAAGAGCCCATTAAAATGCAATACTTCAAATATATTTGATTTTCAGTTACTTATAACAGGAGAGGTGCGTCAGATGTAACTGAGATTGATAATAATTAGGGAGTTTCCGTATAAAATTCATTCAGTAAAGACAGGACAAAATATATGAAATAAAACACTAAAATGAAACTACTGAAAATATTGTCGTTTCTTATTGTTCATTTAATTAAATATTTAGCTTATGTATAAATATTTAGGAGACACTATAAGATTTTATTAGCAACAGTCATCTAAACAACTGAAACTTTATTTAAAAAAAATAGTCTTTTCATAATTTTTAAAG